CGCAGACCTCTCCTGCCGCCCGCTGCTCCCCTCAGCAGTGTACTTCCTCAGTCTGCCTGTTCTGTTCCCCGCTCTGGCTCTGGTGAATTCTCTCACCCTCCTGTGCTTCTGACTGTACCCAGTGCTTGTATAAATAAATAAATCTAAAAAAAAAAAAAGTTTAAAAAAAAAGAAAAAAAAATTGCCAACTTGGGGTTCCTTCCCAGACCAATTCAATTGTAATCTCTATGAACTAGAGTGAGGGATATGTATTTTAAGTAAAATTTATGGGTTATTCTGAGAAATATAACCTAAAAATTGAAAATGTACTTATGTAAAAATAGAAAAATCAAACAAATATATAATTGCATGCTATAAAAATGCCATTAAAGGAGACTAACTGTGACAGTGTCTATTAGGGGAGTAAGAAGGGTTGATGGGTGATGGTCAACAGTTACCCGGGAGTTAGAAAGGGTCAAGATCACACATGGCTGTGGTAAGTGAATGGATATAAAATGGAGTAATAAGTAAAATAATGGCATCTGTTGAAGCACAAAACTATTTAATATTGATGAGTTTGATTTATCTGTTTTTACTTCGTGTCATGTCTTGTCCCAGGACCATTTATTTAAAAGACCGTTCTGTCTCCATTATATTTTCTTGGCATTCTTGTCACATTTCAATTGACTATACATATAGGAGGTCATTTCTGGGATCTCAATTTTATTTCCTTAATTTGTTTATCTTTGTATCAGCATCATGCTGTCCTAATTACTTTAGGATTTTAAAGAGTCTTAACATCAGGAAATGAATCCTACAATATCACTGCTTAGTTTCAGAATTATTTTGTCACTCCTGGGTTGCTTATATTTTCATATGAATTTTAGGGTAAATTTCTGTTTTTTCTTCTGCAAGAAGCCAAATGGGGTTTTATAGGAATTATGTTGAATCTGTAGATCAATGTAGGAATATTGCCACCTTAGTAATATTAAATCTTCTGATCCATGGACATAGGATTTCTTTTCACTAATTTAGGTCTTCTTTGATTTACAAATTATGTATTATATCTTTTAGTGAAAAAAATCTTATACTTGTTTGCTTTATTCTTAAGTATTTTATTTTTGATGTTACTATAAGTTAAATTTTCCTCTTTCATTTACATTTTCTTTCAAGTTAGAGAAGTATTTTCCTTTTTTTTTTTTGTGGGACCCTCGCTGGTGGCCGGGGATTGAACTGGCACTGCAGTGGCCGGGGATTGAACTGGCACTGCAGAGGCTGCGGGCAGCCTCGCAACCCAGCACTCAACCACTGCGCCACCAGGGGAGGCCCTAGAAGTATTTGCATTTTTAGAGATTATATAGATTTGTCTTATCACATGAAAGTCTAGCTTCTATATAGAGATCATCTAACACACATTAGATTTTACAAGACATTAAATCTACTTACCACTTTTAAAAAGAAGAAAATATTTACTCCTTTGTGATCCTTAAAATTGTGCAAGGTACAGATGAAATGGATGAATGCATACATGTTTTACAAAAATATACATAAATTAATTTCTTGGTGAAAATAAAGTCATGTATTTAAATGTACCTTTAACAGGTTTAAAACATACTTGTTTTTTCATTCATTGCATTAAAGAATGTCACTTGTATAGCTTGAATGTATGATTTTGTACATAAAGAAAATTTACAACTATTAAAAAAGTGGTGTTTTCTATTATGTAATAACTTCACTTTTATTTATGAAAACAATTTCTCCATTAGTTCAGTACCCATAAAACTGATCAAGGAAATTTTAATACTTATCCTTTGGAAAGAATATTTACCCTATGAATTGAGGCTTATTTGGTGTGGCATATTTATTTGTTAAAAAGTCTTATTTCCTCCTGGAAAATAAAGTGTATTGAGAATTTGAAAATTTGACATATGGCCAGAAAAGATGACTTTTAAGGTCTCTGACAATCTTGAAGTTTAATATTTCTGAGATTTTTTTGGCTTCATTTTTTACAGTAATGTTATGAGTCTATAAACTGAAAACAAAATGCAACTTTGGTTTTATAATAATTAGCTTTGAAACACAGCCTTCACAAAGAGTATTTTATTATCTTATAAGAGCCCATTAGGGTATAAAATCAATACTTAACCACTCAGTGGGGCATTTCATTTTTCTCAGTATTTTTGAGCGAAGCCACTATATGCTTCCAATTTAATTTTTTTTTTTTTTTTGGTAATGGAATCCTACAAGTAAATAAAAGAACTTTGGTAAAGCATTGAAATTGAACAGAAAATTAGTAGGGTTATGACAGATTGCTTTTCCTTTGTGGTAAACAAGGTAGATCCAATCTCCTTGAGTGTCCTTATAAAACTTGAAGTAACATCTCCTTTTCAATGGCAAATGCTTGTAATTAAACATGTTTGAATTCCCTATTCCACTTTGGGGAGATTTGACAACTCTCTGCAATTATTCAACTTGGGGATTATATTTTCTGCCCTCACTATTCACTGAACATTAAAGAAAGAAAAGTATCTGTAAAAAATAGATCTATTCATCAGAACAATCTCAATCACCTTGTTCCCCCAAAGGTGAAAACCTTCAATGTGATGAAAGCGTACTGCTGACACTACAAACTCTTTAATTGTTTTGGGTTTGTGATAACTCAATAGAGTCTCAATAGATTACTTCACTGATGGTGGCCACAGAATAAGTAAACAATTTGAAATGTGTTCATTTCTATTATATTACAACTATCTCCAAAATTTAGGAGTTTTAAAACAATAGACATTTATTATCTTACTCAGTTTCCATATATCAGAAATTCAGTAGTAGCTTTGCCGGATTGTTGTAACTCAGGGTCTCCCATGAGGTTGGGGGTGAAGTATCAGCTTGGGGTGCAGTCATCTGAAAGATGGAGCGGGGCTAGACAATCCACTTTCAATGTGGCTCTCCCACATGCATGGCGAGTTTTGCATGAGACCCCAGTTTCTCTCCACAAGACTAGTTGGGATTTCACATGACACAGTGGTTTTATCTCTGGAATGAGGAATCCAAGAAAGAAAACCATTCTTTCTGGAATATACCAATGTTTGCATAGACCACTCCTATTCAAAGTAGAAGAGAGCTACATGAACACATGAATTCCAAGATATGAGGCTCTTGAGTGCCATCTTGGAGTCTGAGTACCACAGAGTGGTGATTATCTTTTGCGTTGTTAATAGAGCTGATCTTGGGGAAACAAGTCATAGTCTCCTTATTTCATAACCCCAGTGCTTTCCAGTTGGCCCCTGATATTTCAGTGTTCTGCTGTGGTGCTCTCTGCCTCCTTTCTTCCCTCCTCTTGGATTCAGCAACTATTTGAAGACAAATTGTGTGTCAATTGTCACTATTCATATCTGTAAACAAAATTACTCCCTTCTTGGAATTTACCTTTTATAGTAGCTGCTTTTCATAATAAGTGGTCTCCTATGATCCATAATTTCCAGTTTTGTCCTATTAGCATTCTGCTAAAATTACTGTGTATCTAAAAACGTGATATTCTTATTTATAACACATGTATATTTGGTTCTCTCTTTTCTGACACAACACTCTGTAAAGCCTTGGAATTTTTTGTGAGGACAGCAGGAAGGTAGATTATGTTATGTTAATGGAATGACTTGGAAAGTCCCAGGTAACTTAAAAGTGGGAGGTGGTGATGAGAGAGTTGGAACTTTCATGGAAAATGAAGGGTAAAGGGGTTGAATTAATCTCCTGCAAGGAATGACTTACTCATGCTTATGTAATGAAGTATATATAAATACCCCAAACAGTGAACTCTGGAGAAGTTATGAGTTGGGGATTCTTCAGGGAGAGCATCCCCCTTAGAGCATGAGATTTCCATGCTCTTTCCACATACCTTGCCCTGTGCAGTTAGTCCATCTGTCCTTGAGTTATATTCGTTTGTAAAACCAGTTGTCTAGCAAGTGAAATGTTTCTCTAAGTTCTGTGAGTCACTCTAGAAAATTTATCTAACCTAAAGCAGGGGACTTAGAACATTCTATCTAGAGCAAGTTGATTAGAAGCATATGTAACCTGGACTTTCCACTAGCGAGCAGATAGTATCAGAATTGAGGTGAAATTAGGACACTTAGCCAATGTCCAAAATCTTTTGTAAAATAAACAAATTCATGATAAGTAGTCAAGGATTGACAGAATCCCTTTAAAATAGCATTTTTATTTTAATAGAGGTATGTTGCAATTTAATGCAAATAATAAGGTGGAAATAAAGGACTGGGAAGAAAATACTACGCATAATAGGGGAACTCCCTCATTTGTACCACTTTCACTCTGTGAGGTCACCTGGAAGACCACTTTTGTTAAATGGAAACCATTGCTATCTGACAGTCTCCTTCAGCATGGTCTTTTTAACAATATGGAAATGCAAGATTGGAATAAAGTATATTTTAAGCTTAAACTGAGGCAAAAACATGATTATGAGGAATACTTGAGGAGTGCCAGAGACTAAAGTAGCTCAATTTGCCATTTCCTTTGAAAATTGATTGACACAATCTGATGTGAAATTCTCCACAAATGGTGGAAATACTCTGATCACTGTTTATATATATATATATATATATATATATATATATATATATATATATCCTAAGGCAGTGTTTCAGGAGTTCTGGCATTTATACCTGTGATTAGCTATAAAACTTTCTGTGAAGCTTTGGGCTTTTTTTTTTTTTTTTAAGTCATAAAACTATTTGGTCCAATAAATCTTTCCCCAAATGTCAGATTGGCCAACATTGAGACGCTAAATGGAAAGTAATGACACTCATCAAGCTGATGATGTGAATGATGTATTGGACCCAATCATTGAACATTTTCATAAAGTCAATATCAGGGAAAGAAACTGGGCTTTTATTATGGTAAACTGTAGTTGTCCTGTCAGCATTCAGTGATTTATTGTGAACCTGTGGCTAGGATTAGGATATTATAAATGGGGGAAAAATGGAAGGCTCATTAATTTTTTATACCCACAGGTGGAAGACATGCAGTGGGCTAATAGAGACCACACTCACCCTGCATCTGTCTGCAGCCTGCCTTGCAAACCTGGGGAGAGGAAGAAAACAGTGAAAGGAGTTCCTTGCTGCTGGCACTGTGAGCGCTGTGAAGGCTACAACTATCAAGTCGACGAGCTCTCCTGTGAACTTTGCCCCTTGGATCAGAGACCAAACATCAACCGCACAGGCTGCCAACTTATCCCCATCATCAAGCTGGAGTGGCATTCTCCCTGGGCTGTGGTGCCTGTGTTCATCGCAATACTGGGAATTGTTGCCACCACCTTTGTGATCGTGACCTTTGTCCGCTATAATGACACGCCTATTGTGAGGGCCTCAGGACGGGAGCTTAGTTATGTGCTGCTCACGGGGATTTTTCTCTGTTATTCAATCACCTTTTTAATGATCGCAGCACCAGATACAATCATCTGCTCCTTCCGTCGGATCTTCCTAGGACTTGGCATGTGTTTCAGCTATGCAGCCCTCCTGACCAAAACAAACCGGATCCACCGAATATTTGAGCAAGGGAAGAAATCTGTCACAGCACCCAAGTTTATCAGTCCAGCATCCCAGCTGGTGATAACCTTCAGTCTCATCTCCGTCCAGCTCCTGGGAGTTTGTGTCTGGTTTGTTGTGGATCCTCCCCATATCATCATTGACTATGGCGAACAGCGGACTCTGGATCCAGAGAACGCCAGGGGAGTGCTCAAGTGTGACATTTCTGATCTCTCGCTCATTTGTTCACTGGGGTACAGTATCCTCTTGATGGTCACTTGTACTGTTTATGCCATTAAAACGAGAGGTGTTCCAGAGACTTTCAACGAAGCTAAACCTATTGGATTTACCATGTACACCACCTGCATCATTTGGTTAGCTTTCATTCCCATCTTTTTTGGTACAGCCCAGTCAGCAGAAAAGGTAAGTGACAAGAAATGGCTTTGCCATTTCCTGAATTTGACTTCTTCTAGGGTGCTTCCCCATCTTTCATTTTGGTTCACTTATATTCTTTCAAGATGCTTCAGTTGGTATTATTCATATTTAGAAATACACTCACACACTCTCTCTCTCACACACACACACACACACACACACACACACACACACACTTTCCTCCAGGTCACTATGCTTTGAATATGTGTTGACTCCAGTTGATTTTCCATGAAAAACACTTTAATCCATCTTCTTGGTCAGGTTGAAGATGGACAGAGCTTACATCACTTTCTGGGTCTTTCTTTCTAGCTCTGTTATCTACTAACATAACTTGCTTTTACCATGTTAATTGAACGAGGAAGGGAGAAAGGGCAGATATGTTTCACAGGGGTAAACTTGCCTAAAGATACCCCAATGCATGACAAATGCCTCCTTTTCTGGTCTTCATGTATCTCTGAGCAAAAGCTATTTCTTAATAATTATGGTGGTTTTAGTTATGGAGGCAGAGTTTATAGTAAATTCATAGCAAACAGAAACTGAACTGGCTTAATTCAACCTGAACCATCCTACCAATTCTTTTTAGCCCCAATTCTTGCCTTTCTTTATGTGGAGGGTGATAATAAGGGACTAAAATAGACAGCAATGGGCAAATATATGTAAAACAGTTTATTATGTTTTGGAAGGTGAATGTCAATTGAATCCCATAATAATTTTCTTTGTCACTGATCTCCCATTAACCTTTTCACATAAAACACTATAAATAAAGCGTATCGCTATGTGAAAGGAAGTATGTACTGACCTGGGTGCATGCAGTTGTATATACAGAAAAGCAGAGAGCTAATATTAACCATGGATTCCAAGGTTTTGGGACTGTAATAGAGGCAAGCCAGTTGGCAAAGCAAAAGCAAGTGTTATTTTCTGTAATGGACAGTCCTTCTGTTCTAATGTGCATATGAAAAGTTCTCTTCTCACAGTGAGAACTTAAAGATCATTCCATCTTCCACCATCAGAATTCTTGGCTGAAATCAAACATCCTGGGGGCAATTTCATTCTCTGGGCTTCCACAATCCAAATGAGATTCCTGGAGACTTAAAATCCTGGCTAATTCACAGGATAAAGTACTCAACAAGGGTGAGGAGAGCTTATTAGTATGAGCATTTGCTCCTTACTGGATCAATGTGGCCTTCAACCATGTTCGAAAAATCAAATATGCTTCAGCAAACTTGCCCTGGGTTGCAGACCCGTGACCTTTCATGACTTGTGTGAACTAATGCAAGACCATGAATATTTTATACAGGACCAAGTGCATGGCAGGAAAGTTAAGTAAGACAGTTTGGGTGTTAAACCTAATAACTAGAAGACATTATATTTTGATATATGCAGATGGGAATTTATTAAGTTCAAATTTATACATTTAACTTAGCAAAGAATATGTGAACTGCAAAGTAAATACCTCAAAGTCTATTGGGTCTGTTTTGATGTGGTTATTTGGATAGAATAATATGTTGAGTGAAGTAATATTTTTCAGTCTAAAAATGTCCACACTATCTGAATTATTAATCTTATCAGCCTAAGTGGTACTTGTATTTGTATTTGAACCCAGGACTGCCTTTTTATATACTGTCTTATTTGGAGTGAGCCACAAGTAGTTTATTCTGCTTTCTTGCCAACAGTAAATATTTTACCATATGTAGCCTTCTGAGCTCTGACATTTAACTTCTTGTTCTTTTTCTTTCTCTTCCTTTACATCTTACAAATTGTAGATATTTCTTACTTTTAGTCTAGTACTCACTCAAGGTGTGTACGTAAGGGTATATCAAAAAATACTCTGGGAAGATGATTTATTAAGGCAAGTCTTGTAATACCTCAAGTTTAGAATAAATAAACTCATGGTCCTACATCAAGTTATTGGAAAGCGTCATTGCTGTTCCAACATATATGCCATTGATATGATTTTTAAGATAATCAAAAAAATAACAAGTGTTCATCAGCATGAGAACTCTGCAGAATCACAGCTGCCCCCTGAGGGCAGTGATGGAGATGGTAAGAGTTTCAGGATGAGAAGGACACATGAATATGTCAGTATGTAGAGGCTGCCCAGTGCCCCTGGGTCCATAGGAGCTGTGTAGCCATCCAAAAACTTGGAGTTTAGGATATATTTATGGGTGTGACTATAGCTACACCTATAGAGATAGGACAGAATGTGGCTAGACAAGATTCCTGTTTCTTTTCTAGCTTTGTGGTGTCAAAATCAAATACATTGAAAGATGAATTGTAAAAATGGTTGATTGGACCTAATTTTGTATCCATGGTATAATCTAATGTAGAAAAGACTGAAGGAATCCAAAAGAAATGCCGACTCTGGGAATTTTAGATTATTATAAAATCCTCAAATTCTTTAGATAGTTTCAAAGTTAGTGAATTTAGATCAACACTAGATCAAGAACTGTTATAAGTACTTAAGATTTTGCTCCTAAGCTGCTTTATATAACACACTTATGTGTCATCTGAACACACCACATTACCATTTGCTACCAGTTATTCTCTGTCAAAGTATCTTTTATTATCCAAAACAACATACAAAATGCTTGATAATGTTTATTTTCTCACATTGCTAAAGTTACTGATGCAGACATTAAAAGTGAATAAAATCTCTAAAAAAAGGTCCTAAGTTTTATCGACACTGGGGGACCAAAGGGCTGATCACTCATCCTTCCTCATTTATAATGCTCGGTCAATTAGCCCCATGTTATCAACTTGAAGTCTTTGCAGCAGCCTGGCAGCACACAAATCCATTAATTCAGCAGATCCTTATTGAGCACTGTGTCCAGCATCGTGCTAATTATTGAGCCCATGTCATTCTGCTTCCTCAGAAGGCTCAGTTTGGCTCTCAGCCGATGCCTGCCTGACGCCTGCCAGCAGCAGCAAGGTGCCAGGCTCAAGGGCAGGAGATCAGACTCAAGGACAGGGAAGATGTTGAGGAGTCAGATCTGAGATGAGAAAGCAAAGCACAGAACTGTGCCTTCTATAACTGTACAACACTGACATAGAATTTATAAGATAGAAGACAGAGGAAGAGCAAAATTTCTTCCAGAATGCACTTAATTATGCTTCTTAGAGTCATGTCTACAAAAGAAAACTCATCTAACCACAGAGGTCTCTGAAATTACAAAAGAAATAGAAATAAAATATAATATTAGTTGAATAATCTGGATGGATGTTTCGGAAACCCTCTGAGTAAAATCAAGTTATAAAGGGACATTTGAAGCATTCATGAAGACAGATAGCTCTCTAAAATCTATATTCATTCAATGACAAAACACCATTTAATTTTTCTACATTGCTTTTATTTGCAGATTTCGAAATCAAGATGAATCATGTTTTTCTCCAATAGATTTTAATGACATTATTTATTAGCTTTGTATCTACTGCTGCATGCTACTAAATCATAGTCTAAATGTACTTTTTCTTTTCCTATAGTAAAGTGGTGTGGACATGCCAAGGCATAGACATGGACTAATCCAGACTCTCTTAATTGTGTTGAAAAGACAAAGAAATTAAACATAATTAATGTAATTGGAGTAGAATCCTCAGCGATGGTTAGGGGCTGCTAGGATGGCAGAAATCTCTTAAATCCCTGCTTTACCATCTCTAATTGGGCTCATATAACCAAATAATCAGACAAGGGTTATGACATTGCCAAGCTCCAGAGAGCACAGTGCTTCAAAGTAGTCGATGAAAACAAAACACCCTCAAAACAGAAAAAACAAGCTCAAAAATGTCAAAATGTTCAATGTCCAAAACCAGCCTTTCTTTGTTCTCTGGGTCTGTAGAGCAACATGTAGCTAGTAGGTCCATAAACCCAGGAGTCATCTTAAACCACTCTACTTTCACCTATATTCTTCACCTCTCCTGTTCAAATACCACCATTTTTCATGCTGTGGATGGCAAACATTATCTCTCTGATGTATATCTAAATAAATACATCTCCTAACATAGAGCTTTTCATATAGTAGCTGTTCAATAATAGTTCAAAATAATAGAATGAGTGAATGGAGTGTCTTGTACAAGAATGATAAAATATAATCATATAGTTGCTTACTTATAATTTAAACTGAACTATGACATAATGGACAATGTGTATGTGTTTTATTTTTAATCCCCATCGCAACAGCTTTTTTATTTCTAAAAAACAAGTTTTCCCATTTAAATGATAGACTATAAACATTTGTTTTAAAAATTTTTTTTGAAGATTTATTCTTATTTATTTATACAAGCACTGGGTACAGTCAGAAGTGCGGGAGGGTGAGAAAATTCACCAGAGCCAGAGGGGGGAGCAGAGCAGGCAGAAGGACCCAAGTACACTGCTGAGGGGAGCAGCGGGTGGCAGGAGAGGTCTGCGCGCCATGTGGGACCCTCCTCCAGTGGCCGGAAAGCAGCCGGGGATCGAACTGGCGCTGCAGAGGCTACGGGCAGCTTCGCAGCCCAGCGCTCAACCACTGCACCACTGGGAAGGCCCTTAAAATTTTTGTTTCTATCACTTATTCTACTAAACATTTCAGGGAAAATAAAAAAAAAAGAATTGTTATAGTCATCCTTAGTTCTAAAATATACAGAGTGAAGGGAAATTAATGTGAGTATCAAAATACTTCTGCCATGCAATCCCCCCTCTCTTTACTATTTATATCTGCCTATTTAAGGGCTGAGGATATAGGGGTGCAGAGGAGAATGGATGGACCAAAGTAGAGTATGAACTCTAGAGGATGAGGATTTGGGTTCAAATCCTGACTGTTAAACTTGCTGAAAAAACATAGGAAAGTGGCTAATGTTGTGTAGAGAGTAATATATTCTCCCAGAGATTGCAAACTCAGTTATAAAACAATGCCAAGCAGTCACCTGCCATCTGTGTGCTCAGCCCTCTGCTCAAAATAGAGCTGACTTGAGTTCATATCACCTAGGGAAGGGCAGAAAATGATTGACTGCAAAAA